CCCTTTACAGATGGATGTTTAACTGGTCCTGCCCACAGCAGCCTGCGACTCCCAGCGGGAAGCAGTTGTCTTCCAAAGCTAAGTTTTGGGCACTTGCTGCAACAACTCGCTTTTTAGCTTCTCAGCAACCTGGGGCCTCCCGTGAGTTCTGGAAGCACTCTTCTTCTGAGCAATACCCCAGACCAAACAGGCCAAACAGTGATGTTTTTAATAGTAACATATTTGTGCATGTGAAACAAGGAAGCTAGCTGACAGTGTTTATACTTTTCAATCAACGCGTGTTTCTTCCCTATTGGACCTGTCCAGGCTTATGCCTACCAGATGTCAGTCTTCATAAACCCTGTGGTGACACAAAAGAGTATTTGGGTACACGAATTCCAACAATGGTAGCTGATGATTGATTTCTTTTTTCTTTTTCTTTCTTTCTTTCTTTCTTTCTTTCTTTCTTTCTTTCTTTCTTTCTTTCTTTTTTTTTTTTTTTGTATGTAAAATCATGTAGGGAAAAAGCTTTTTGTGGCCTTTCGTCTTTTTTTCACAATTCTGATGTTAGCATGCTTTCAGGATTGTTACAAATAAAGATCATTTTAGTAAAATGAAGTAAGTTTATCATTTCTAGTATTAGTATTGTGTCAAATTCCAATTGCTTGTCTTTTTTTTCAGTTTTACACAATTTGGAAAAATTGTAAAATATTAGATTCTAAGAGGTATTCTGACCAAATATGCCGAATATAATTTTTCCATTTATTGGATTGGGTTAGGTTTGTGAAAATGAGCTTGAATCATTGTATTGTTATAGTTGTTTAGAGGTATTTCCTCAGAGAAGAGGCAGCCAACATTGGTGCTGGGAACAGGCTCAGGTCCAGAAGAGTGGGAAGTTGACGTTACTACTGAGCCATCTCCCGAGCCTCAAATTCTATGTTATGCTTTCAGTTGTAGTAATTTTTAACCCTAACTTGTTCTTTACCTGCCTTGTTCCCTGCCTGCCTCATGCCTCCTTCCTTCCCTCTCTCTCCCCTCCCTTCCCCTCCTTCCCTCCCTTCATACTTCCATCCTTTCCTTCCTCTCCCCCTCCCCCATCTATCTATTTACCTGCATATGTGGGCTGTGCTGTATTTGAACTTCTGAGTCTTAACCTTCTGAGTCTTAACCTTCTGAGCACAGCCTTCTGGGCAAGTGAGGCTGTAAACAAATCACTGGACCCAGGAACTGGTTAACTTTCTAAATAAAGAAGTCATTAGTCACACCTTAGAAACTAATCTGTTTGTGTGTTTCATTTGTTTGTTGGTTTTTTGAGTCAGGGTTTTTCTGTGTAGCCCTCGTTGGCCTGTAACTTTCTCTGTCTGTAGTCCAGGATGGCCTCAAACTCACAGAGTGCGCCTCTGTCTCTTGAGTGCTGGGATTAAAGGCATGTGCCACCACCACCAGGCTAGAAAGTATAGATTCTTATGGAGAGCATAAAATTAAAAGCTGTGCCTATATATATTTTAATATCCTCTCCTAGAAGAAAATGCCATGGAGGGAAATCATGTTCTCAGTGTATTAATTTTAATCTTGTGATCATATAGGTTAGTTTTGAATACACAAAAAGTCGATTGGTTGGTGATGGTTTGGGTCCCAAGGAAAAGGACATTCTTAAGTACAGAGTTAAAATGGAAGGCCATTCAGGAGCAGAGTTTGAATTGATGCCCTACTGCTTGCAGAGTCTGAAAGCAGGCAGTTCTTTACACACTGTATTGTTTTTGTCCTAACACGTTTTTCTTTAACTAGTTGAATGAGTTAATTTTATTAATTTTTAAATACTGTATTTAGATAGTGAATACTCATGACAACAGGCTATTTTATTATCTGTATTAGTATTGTAACTTACTTGAAAAGTTTTACAATGAAAGTCTTTATACAAAGATAGTTATGACCTGTTTATTTGGAAGGAAAAATGAAGTTAGTATAGAAAAGTACAACAGGCGCCTCTGCAGTTAGAGCAGCCATGGAAAGAAGCCAGGCTGGCTACCCCATGCGGGGTGGGTTAGACAGGATCTGTATGGCTGAACAGCATAACAGCATGACGAGGACATATGGAGCCTGTAAATACTAATATGCATTTTAACACAAATACCCTAAATATCTCTTTGGTTTCTTTTACTACCACCTATAGCCATTGGTAATCATATAAACAAGTATTTGCTTAGGAAGACAAGTTAGGCTGGGCCTGGCGGTTTACACTGCAGTCCCAGCCCTTAGAAGGCTGAGAGGTTGAAGATTGCCATGAATTCAGGGTTAGCTGGTCTCCACTGTGAAACCTTATCTAAAAGACAAAACAACCCCTCCCCTCAGAACCTAGGTGCTAACTGTGAGTGAATGCTAGACCCTGGGCACATTATATGTATCATCTCTGAGCTCCGCAGCTACATCTTTGTGTTACTTGTAAGAATGTAATTGAGAGGTACTGTGTGGTTTTTCTCAGTATCACAGCAAATGAACTCCAAAGTACACTTTTTCACACTGGTAGCAATTGTTTCTACTTGTGTAGAATAATGTTTCATTCATTACTAAGAAGTCTTTCTAGCTAAACAACTCATCTTCCTCCTCCCTCCCTCCCTCCCTCTCCTCCCCTTCCTTCCTTCCTTCCTTCCTTCCTTCCTTCCTTCCTTCCTTCCTTCCTTCCTTCCTTCCTTCCCTCCCTCCCTCCCTCCCTCCCTCCCTCCTTCCTTCCTTCCTGTCTAGAATTGATGGGTAGGGGAGATGGCTCGGCAGTTAAGAGCTCTTCCGGAAGGCTCCAGGTTCAATTCCCAGCATCCACATGGCAGCTCATAGCTGTTGGTACCTCTGATCTGACACCCTCACATAGCATACACGCCAGCAAAACATAAAATAAAACGTTTATTCTAAGAAAACGAAACTTGAGGAAAATAACTTCTGAAGAAGGTGTCAGCTATAGGTTTTGGCCATATGTTTTAGAGGTCATGTGTGTCTGTACCTGACCCAAACTAGCCCTTAAACATTTATTTGCCCATCAGTAGCAACCCTGTCCTTCCCTAGACAAATACTGATGAAGGCAAAGGTTCTATAATAACGTACTTTCCGTAGTCCTATCATCTAAGGAAGTGACTGACAGCAACAATGGGGCATGAAGAGTGGCTGTTGACTTGCATAGGAAGCTCTTTTGACGTGGTCTCACTCAGAATGCTTAGAGTGTCACAAGATTTCCCTTACCTTGTGTGAGTCTTTTATAAGGAAAAAAATTGTATGTACCTTACGGGTTCACCATACACATCAACATAAACCTTGCATTGTTATAAGTAGTCTAAATTTTAAGATGTAATTAAATAATTTTTTAAAAGAAAATACGTTTCTGTGTGAATTCCCAATAGATATATTGCACATACATTTTTGTAACATTTATTGAAATGGTGAGCGCTTAAATGCGATGCACATAAATTCACTAATAGATGAGCGCCCTCTCTTTTCTTCCTGTAGCTTTTACTTCTTAAATCCTAAGCATTGTGATTTCCCTGCTTAATTGTGATATCAGTATATGCATTAACGTGACCATGGTCTCTTAGGTCTTCACGTTTGAGTGTCACCATTTCAGTGCAAGCCTAACCTATGTAAGATTGAACCTACAGCAGCTAAGTCCATTAAGAAAGCTGCTACAAAGTGATTTGGTTATTATTAACAGCTCGTACTAAGGCTAGAGTGGAAACATGGCTCTAATAGAACTTTAAACAGGATCTGTCTGTTTCTCTGGCTCTGCATGTGCAAGGCAGTGGGGAAGGTTCATTACACCGGAAGTTACGGACGCGTCCTGGTCAGCTACGACATACAAAGACACTTCTTTCTAGATTGAGAAGATGAGGATACAGTTTGTTCAAATTGACGTCTTCTTTTTCTTGCCGCTCTCGCTCTTCCTTCCTATTTTCTCCTCCCACTCTCCTCCTTCCTCCCTTTTAAAAAGGGGTTTCCCTGTGTGTTCAAGTTTGCCTTTACCTAGTGAACCTCCCCGCTCCATCTCCCAAGAATCTGAGATTGTGGGCATGTGCACCCACACCCAGCCTCCACTGCGCTCTTCATCATTCTAGGACAGCGGGTCTCAACCCTCCCACACTGCGACCTTTAGCACACTTCATGTTGTGCTGACCCCCAGCCATAACATTATTTTGTTGCTACTTCATAACTGTAATTTTGCTACTGTTATGAATTGTAAAATAAATATCTGATATGCAAGATACCTGATATATCACCCCCTTCCCCCCAAAAAAAAGGGTTCACAATTCACAGGTAAAGAACCACTGCTTTACATTAATACAGAATTAGGTTTGGTTTGAAATGATGAAGAACTTTGGGAAGAATAAGAATATAACATTAATTTTTTCCAAGATGATGACCTCATACACTTGTATAAAACTAGGCATTTTTAGATGCACAGACTGTGTGATTCACTGAAGGATATGGTGCCCCTAGAATTCAGTTTGTCTCAGGCTGAGTTGCAGGGACACATGCCTGTAGTCCCCACCGTGAGATCGAGCTGGGGGGACATTTGAATCTATGAGTTCAAAACCAGCTTGGGCACAGCCCTGTCTCAAAAATAAAATTAAAGTTGCTTCATAAATGCTCATTTTAGTTTATGTTCTGTTGCCGCAACAGTGTCTAGGGCTGAATGGTTTATAAGGGTGAGAGTTCTCAAGCCAGAGACACAGGGGATCTGAAGAGCTAGCCATATCGGGTGGCCACCATGCACAGCTCCCTGCTGCACAAGAGGGGATTCGGGACGCTCCTGCCCTGTCCCATGAGAGAGGCATGGAGGAATTGGAGTCTTCTGGGCCCCTCCTCCCGCTCTCACACTGAGGACTTAAGTTGGGAAAGGATACTCCGTTTTCAAAAGGATTTTGTGCATATTTCACTTTTCATTTCTAGACTTGTACCACACCTTTAAACAAAATGCATAACCACGCCTCAGTCTTTGGAGTAATTCTGCCTAATTCGGTGTTTCCCTTCTGTCCTAGATATGGAGTCTGGAGAGCGGCTGCCACCCTCGCCAGCCTCCTCTTCCTCGCCAACGTCCTCGTCTGCTCCGCCTGTGGCTTCAGCAGTTTCCAAAAGCAGCCTTTCCACGGGACCTGCTTCTCTGAGCTCTACAGCCAACCCATGTGGTGAATATCCTTTCAAAACCGACTTGAGAGTGCTCTGCTTTCAGGGCTCTGTGTTTATACCGCCAAGCTCTGAATAACATGTTCTTCTCTTGACCTGTCGGGTAATTGCTGGGTTAAACGTGCGGTCTTTTTGCTCCGTCTAGATTTTGCTCCTGGATAGCACTGATTATTCCTTATTCGCCACACTTGTAGCTCTGCCCTGAGGGTTTAGTCTTCGTTCCATGGTAACTATGTTTATGGACATGTTTCTAAGTATAGAGTCACAGGCCCAGGAAAGAGGGAAGAAAGAGAGAAGTCCTTGGTGCTTATATTTCTTTAACATTTATAATACTGTGTTTCCTATTTGAAATGAAGTGATTTATGTTGGAAGCTCTAGCTCAGTGGTAAAGATCCCACTTACTTTTTAGGCCTTTGGTTCAGCTCCAGCATGGCAAAATACATATTGTGCCTTTCAACACAAAGATGCCTTAAGAAGACTCCTTTCTACTTAAGTCAGGCTTGTCTGTTTCTTGTCTTATTGGAGTCATTGCTTTGGCCTGTGTGTTATCTGATACTTCTTTTCATTTAAAACAAAATCATGGAATGACTACAGGGGTCTAACCCTGTATCTTAAACAATTTGATCTCAAATGTTTTTGACCTATATATAACAATAGAACAGAACTTTCAGTTGGGTGTGGTGGCACACATCTGTAATCCCAGCACTCTGAGGCAGAGGAAGGCAGATTGCTGTGAGTTCAAGGCCAGCCTGGTTTACAAATTGAGTCCAGAACAGCCAAAACTACACAGAGAAACCCTGTCTCAGGAAAAAAAAAAAAAAAAAAGCTTAGAACTTTCATCTTTAAAAATAGCAATAACCTCAAGAATTTTTTCATGGATTCTTTGAGATCATTCTGGTTCTTAAAAAGTTATTCTAAAGTTTATTTCTTCATCATCGTAATCAATGATGTGGCATTGCTTCCAGCTCTCTTAAGTCTACTTCAGAATTGTGGATCGATGATGCAATAGGGCAGAAAAGACCACTTTTATCCTGAATACAATAGGCCTCCACTTTAAGGATATGTATGGTTTTTGTTTTGTTTTTTTAAATCACCTAAAGTTGTTCATTTTAAATAATGTTCTGAGAAGTAGCTCAGTTAAAGATGGCCAAGGTCTTGCCTTCTTGACATTTGTAGCAAGAATAATTCATTATGCTTAGGACCAATGGAACATTGTTCCCCAGAACGTACCATTTGTTTTATTGCTACAGTTTGGATAAAAAGGTATCATTGCAAAAAGAACAGTTGGGGCTATTGAGATAAGGGTTTTATTGGTTTTGTGAAAAGAGTATTATTTTTCTTTTCCATAAAGAATGATTTAAAACAAAACAAAACAAAACAAAAAAACGCCTGAGTTTAAGGCCAGCCTGCTCTACAGAGTCAGTACAGGACAGTCAGGGCTACATACAGAGAAATCCTGTCTCAAGGAAAACAAAAACAAAAACCTCCACCTGTTCCTAAAAAATGACTTAGACAGCGCTCACCAAATGCATTAAATAAATTAGGTGCATTAAATAAAAATAGTTAAGTAATGTATTAAGAGATAGACTCTCAAAAATAAAAAGCTCTCCACTGAAGGAAGACACAGATTTTCTTAAAGAGTACCTAGTGATGTAGCTTAGACTCCTTCCCCATGGTGTACGTAAGTGCTGGGATTCCTGGCATGAGCCCTCACGTCTAATGAGCTGTGGATGTGGAACGAAAACTGTTAGGAGTAAGAGGCAAGCCAACAGGAGCACTCAGCCCACTCTTCCTCGTGCTTGGAAGGACATTTGTTTATCAGGACTTGAAAACATGAGGCAGGTGCATGTCATTGGAGCCTTTATAGAGAGCAGCAATTGGTGTATGCCATAGCCAGGCGCACAGATGCTCAGGTGTCAACCTACATAACAGCTCCAACTAAAAGCTAAGAGAGTGATGTTAAACATAATTGAATATGTCAACCTTACAGAGTACATTTGTTTCAGAGTTTGGCTATTTGCCCTATTACAGAGATCGAACATTAAAAAACTTAAATAATAATTGATCTGTACCGTATTCTACTGCTTTTGTTATACGTGTATCTGTTTTTGAGGTAGCTCCCCTCAAAAAATGCTAAGTCACAGGCAGTGCTATGAGCTGATAAGCTAAGACTGCTGTGGTGAAGGCCATAGTAGGCATGGTTATCGTCAAAAGGAACGTTCATGTTAGGATTGTTAGTCCCTAGAAATGTGAATCGTCACTGAACACTGAGGAAATCGCAAGGCGATTAAGGTCTCGGTGCTGTTAGGCTGTGTTAGGTACAGCAGTGATTAACTATGTCAGGAAAGCTCAGGAAACAAACCATGCAGATAGGCTCTGTGTGTGTGTGTGTGTGTGTGTGTGTGGTGTGTCTTCAGATTCCCAGGCTCCTAATTTTTAAATCTGTCTCCTGAAGTGCGAGGCTTTTATTCTCACCTGTGTGCCTCGCAGCTTCATGAGCCGTGCTCCATTTAGAACACCTCTTCAGAGGAGGCCAGAGAAATGAGTTAAGCCAGGCTTGCATGCCAACAGAATGAATGCTCTTCCCAGAAGCCCCAGCTAGAGATTTTCACTTAATCTCTTTCTCCAGAAGTGTGTGAGTGATAGTCTTGGCTTCAAGGAAGGACAGGAAGTATGGGTTTTAACAATCCATATTATGGCCCTGAGTGAAATGGAAGTTCTGTTAGGAAGGAAGGAAAGCTGGCTTGGTCATATGTGTCTTGGCTTGGTAGAGGAAGAGAGACAGGAAGGAGGTCATGCTGGGGAGTAGGCTGTGGTAGAACATTTCTAACTAAATGTGACATGCGTTTGGATTTGTGCAGCATAATGTAATGATTAAAAGCAAGGACTTTGCAGTCAAACACTGTGAGATCAAACCTTGGCTGTCCATTTATTAGCTCTATGCATTACCTTTCTTAAGGTTCAGTTGGCTCATTTGTAAGACAGGAGTAGTAGCAGCTGCTTTCAGTATTATGATAAATGAAGTAATGACCAAAATATAGTTGATGCCTTGTAAACTGTAACCATTCGTTTTCTTATACTTTGTCCAATAAGAATGGTTTAGAATAGAGACAGTGCTCTTGGATGTCAGAGCAGGGCATGTGGCATTCGTTTGTAAGAGGAATGTAACTAGAAGTGAAGAAGGCCTTATATTTATGTTAGATGCTTACATTCATTCAAATGAAAAACGATGAGGGCTCAGATTAAGGAGTACTGGAAATGGGATACAAAACAAGGTTCCAGAGGCATTTGGTAATAGATTCATCAGGGATATAAAGACTGCATTTGTGCAAGAAGGCTTTTAGAGAAAGAGAAGCCTTGACATGACTTGCTGTGTTACTGAAGGGTGACATAGTGAGAACTTTGAAGAGGGGATGCATTTGTAAGGATACAAGACTAAGCCATCTTTCGTTTGTTATATGCAAGTGGTATGTATATTTGTTTGTCTGTGTTGTTAATGGCAGGTGCTGCTCAATATTTCCGGGTTTTGTCAGTGATAAATAATGCTGTTAGGGACATCGTTATGTATAGCTACTGCTATGTCTAAGCGTGTATTTCTGGTACCCATAGCATCACTTTTTCTGCCAGGTATGCTTTACAGTCCTGATGCCCAAAACCTGGCATTGCCAGTGGATGCGGTACTTTTGGTCAGTGAAGTTGTACATTCAGCTTTTTGTAAGACTTTCTGATTTCTGGGTTTCTTTCTTTTTTTTTTTTTAATGCCCATTTAGGGCTTTGGATCATAGTTCTAATGAGTCACATTTTTTCCCATAAAATATTTATGAATTATTTTAGATATGGGATGCCTTTCAATTACATTTGTGGAAACAGCTTTTCACAGTCTGATCTATACATGTATTTGTTTATTGTACATTATCTTTTAAAAATAAAACTTCCAACTTTGATGGAGCCAGTTACACTGGTTTTACTTCTTCCTGCTGTTGTTTCTAACTGAAGAAGTCTTGCTTTGTATCCAAGGTTAAGCATACATATTTAACATTTTACTTACCTCTTGGATTAGTCTAATCTGGCTACTGTAACAAAATACCAGAGAGTTGGTAATTTATATGTATTAAACATTTGTTATTTGCAGTTCTTGAAGCTGGGAAGTCCAAGATCAAGGTGTCGCCCGATTCAGTGTCTGGTAAGTGGCTTATGTCTTTTTTAGTGCTATTGTTGCAGAAAACTGGCTCAGTAATTTATGTGGCATTTCCTTCTGATGACAAAGATTTCTGAACATCATGTGTAATATCTGGTGAATGCCGGCTGGCCTACAACACACGTGGCGGGAAATAGGGAATCGTTTGGAGAAGGGAGCAAACACAGTGTGGCGTTGTGTTTAACAATCTGCTGTGCTCGAGAACTCACCTGTTCTGAGGACTACATTAATTACTTCTGACGGTGGCATCCTGCACCCCGTAGGTCTTCCATTAGCCCCTACACCTTCCAGATACACTTTCTTTTAACGTATAGAGGACTGAACTTTCAACAAGAAATTTTAGGGGACAAACTGTATTCACCCCACAGCACTGAAAGCTTTTTTCTTAGAGATTCCACTTTCTGTTTCCTCTTGCATGGTAGAAAAAGGAGCAAGACAGTTTGTGGAATAGTTTTTCCAGTGGAATAAGGTTCAGGTCCTCAAGAAGTCACTGTAAAAGTGGAAGAGTAAGAGGGTGGCATGGTGTAACCTTCCCTGGGGACGAATAAGCAAACATCTTTTCACCCCAGGAAGCGCAGCAGCTGCAGACCAAAGAAACAGTTCCCCCCCAGCTCTCGCCTGATGGAGTTTATTTGGGCTGTCTGTAGGAATGTTCAAGAAGCATTTATTGTATGAGCATGGCTGACTCAGCACCTGCTCCTTAAAGCCCCATACTAGGAAAAAAAAAAAAAAAGCCCATCCTAGCATGGATGGTAAGTCCAGAAGGCTGCATCCTTGGAGCTCTGTACGCAAGTTGTGGTCAGCACTGCATGCTGGAGACCATTCTCCTAACAATCATTACTTTATCTTTCCAGAGGAGTTTTTATCATTATTATCTTTCCAGAGGAGTTTTATGAATCCTGGAAGTTTCAGGAGACCCCTGAGCCATGTAGATTTTCTTTGGTTATTGAGTTCTGTGTCTATCCACCCTTCAGGAGGCAACAGCTACAGAACTAATTCTCTTTTCAGAAGAGCACTAGTCTATTGGTGAGGATGCAGGTCGTCCAACTTAGTTCCCAAAGGCTCTGCTTCACAATATTGTCTCAGTGTGATTCTAACATATGAATTTTGAAGGAATACCAACACTTTGATTTTTACTCTATGATTATTAGCTATCAGGCCAGTGTGACAGACTGGATTCAGACTTTGAGTTTTGGAATTTTCACTTGTTAACTTACGTCATAATATGTATCAGATCAGTTAAAGATAACATAAATCACTGAAAGTATTTTAACTAGAATGAGTTTTAATCAGACTAATTGGGTACTTAGAAAACTATTGAATAACTGACTCCTGGATCCCATGATGACTTCAGAATATTGCTGTCCAATTGACTTGTTAAGGAAGTTACCTCTGGTTCAACTCAAGCACTCTCACAACTGTTGGCTTCATAATTGTACCACCTTATCTGCAATCTAGTAGAATTGAGCCTTCCCTCCAGCCCTTTCCTAAATAAACAGGTAATTGCCTGTGCCTGCAGTTAGAGATGGAAAGATTACAAAGTAGAGGCTGTCTGTGATACATAGTGAATTCAAGGAAGACAACCTGGACAACTTGGCACCTATAAAAATTAAAAAAGGCCAATAATGTATTCCACGGGTATGTGGGTGCTTAAAAAATTAGAATTTAGCCAGACCTGGTGACACACTCCTGTAATCTCAGCACTCAGGAAGTCAGAAGCAGGTAGATCTTTATTCGTTCAAAGCCAGCCTGCTGTACATAGTCCAGAATAGCCAAGGTTACACAGGGAAACCCTGTCTCAAAACAAACAAACAAACAAACAACAAAAACACAAGAATTTGAGTTAAATCTCAATACTAAAATAAGAGAAACAAGGATCAGGAAGAGAGGGGAAGGAGGGAAGGCAAATGAGAAGGCAGTGTCATTACTGAGTCTTTTCCCTTGTTTACTCTTTGTGTAAGAAAAGAACCAAGAATAATGTGCGTTCAACGCAAAGACATACAGCTTTTAACTCTTCTAGAAAATACAAATATTTGTGCTTCCTTTGTAAAGATTATTAAGGGCTTTCAAGAACTTCATTCTTTCTATGTAGTATCATTACTTTTTCTTTATGTTCCTGCTCATATGTGTGAGGATGGGAAGGTGCTCCTCCAGCACCTAAATAAGGACTCGTTTCCAAAAGCCACCTTTTACCCAAACACACCTTGACTCTTGCCATAGTTTCTGAAGCTTTTGCGAAACTGCTTTCTCAGAGAGACAGTACCATATGTTTTCTCTGTTTGCCTCTCATGGTACTCCAGTTCACAATACAGTGCTTTCCGATCTGAAGCTTGCCTCTTAGGTTCTCTTATACCATTCGTAGTTTTTCTATTTCTCTAGCTCCTGCTTCTTAGGTTTTATTTATTCGTTTGTTTGTTTGTTTGTTTTTTCCATTCATTTTGGTTTTGTTTCTTTACTGATTCCTTTACTCATAAATGCAAATTTCTCTTTTTATCTCTTGGCTCTTTGTTTAAGTGTACCTGAAAGAAAACTCTCTGAACTTTTTCAGATTCTAATTGTACACCTTTTTTAAAATAAATGTTTTATAGACATCTTAACCTTTACAAACTGAACAAATCCAAACCAAATGTTTTCGTTTCTACTAAAATCAGTTTTTCTTAGTTTGTCCTCATTCATTTAAATACTAGAGTCAAGTACTGGAAGTCTGGTGATTTCAACCATGATTTTTTCATTCTTACATATTAATTCCAACAGTTCTGCTTTCAAAATAAAGCTTCAGCTGAAGTCTTCTTTCTGGCCTCCTGTCACTTAAGGACGTGGCACCAAAACCCCAACCTGTGTCACTATGGTTCACCCAACTTCTCTCTCCATTTCCTTGCCTTGTCACGTTTAATTCATTCCTCTCATAAAGCAGTAGAGGTAACTAAGCAAAACCTCTCCGTTTTGGTGTTTTCCTTAGATATAATATTTATGTATAGGCATAATCTCAAGTATTCGCTTACAGTTGTTTTTTAAACTATGTGGATGGATGGGCAGGAGGTCTGGGGTGGATCGGGAGTGAATTGCTGCCTGGGAGGTTAATATGTACAAAACCTTGAAGAATGAATTTTTATAAACGCGACAAGGACTTTGTCTCTTTTCAGTTGATTTGGACATTTTGGAAAAGCAAACGCTTGTTCTGTGTTAGTGTACTCACTGTGTTGAAAACAGCTCCTGAATTCTGAGGCCATGCAGTCTATTAACACCAGAATATGATAACAGACAAATTTAGTTGATGCTCTGCAGTGCATGTTTGGGCTTTCAAATGAATGAAAGTGTAAATTAGCATAAAAAGAAAAGCGGCATGTTCTCAGGTAGCTCCCAGGTTAAGCCCACCCTGAGGTGTCCCGCCGGCACTCACTGCCCGCTTTCTGCCCCAGTTTACTGTTTCTGCATTTTTATTAAATGAAGTCAGGGATGCTTTTGTGGCTTGTGTCCTTTATAATGATTTCAAAACATTTGTATCGTTATTTATGTAATGTTCATTCTTTTCTCTTAGTGGTAATGTTTTGTCTTATAACCATGCCGGAATGTGTGAGGTCATTCACCAGATGCGGACACTGCCGTGTGTAAGCTTGAGGCAATGGTGTGTGCTCAAGTTGCAAGGCCTTCTGTTTCTCTTGGATAAATACCTAGGGTTAGGATTGCTAGAGAATATTCTAAGTATATGCTTCATTTGACGGAATTTGGCACGTGTCTTTCTAACGTGCTTGTAACGTTTTCCCTCTACAAGCAGCATGTAAGAGTTAACTCTACCTAGTTACTGCGCACAGTTGGTACATGTAAGGGTTAACTCTGCCTAGTTACTGCGCACAGTTGGTACATGTAAGCATTAACTCTGCGTAGTTACTGCGCACAGTTGGTATAGCATCTCTCTGGCTTTGCTGTTGCTCTTAATTTTTTTTAATTATATATGATTATATATATTTTTTCTTTCCCTTCCTCCCTCCAACCGTTCCCATGTGTCACCTTACTCCATGGTCACTCTCAGATTCATGGTCTGTGTTTCTTGTTACATACATGTATGTGTGTGTGTGGTGTGTGTGTGTGTGTGTGTGTGTGTGTGTGTGTGTGTGTATAAAACATTTATGCTCAGCCTGTATAATGTTACATATTTATGTTATAATTTTAGGGCTGGTCACTTGGTGCTGTCTTTAATGTGTTTCTGAAGACTGATGATATTGAGCAAATTTGCATGTACTTGTCATTCATATACTTTCATAATACATCTATCCGGATATTTTCTCATGCATGCTAGGGGCTGTCTTTCTTCCTGATCTGTGTAATTTTTGTCTCTTTCCTTTGCTTCATGAGCTTTTGATGTTTGGTACAACGTTGAATAGAGCGGGTAATAACAGACGTTGACTTTTGAGTTTTTATTTAATTTAGTATTGACTTTGTCACATGGTTGCATCTATTGAAATGCTGACACAGCCGTTGAATTTTGACTTGCTAATAAGGTGAGGTAATTGACTAAATTTTTATATGATAAACCATCGTGGCATTCAGGGATCAAATTCCAATTAATCATGCTGTATTGGTCTCTTAAATGTGATTTGTTGAAATTCTGTCAGGCAAACTACATGAGTGCTCACCAGGATTATTGGTCCATTTTTTTTTCCTCATCATTGTTGGAAACTGTTTGGTACCGTTCCCGCCCTTCCTGTGTTTTGAAAGCGTATATAATTGTTTTTAGTTTTTCAAATGTTTGACAGAACTCAGCAGTAAAGTCTTCTAAGCCTCGAGAGTGTGTGTGTGTGTGTGCGTGTGCGTGTGCGTGCGTGTGCGTGCGCGTGCGTGCGCGTGCGTGCGTGTGCGTGTGTGTGCGTGTGCGCGCGCACGTGGGCGCACGTTTAAACTTGTGTTGCTCTGAGGTTCTAAGTCCTGCCCTACCTCTGAAGAAGTGACTGCCGCAGGATGAGCTTCTTGGTTGGTCACTGCATTCC